AAATTTGTAATGAAAAATTTCCCACAATTAGGACATTCAAAGGGTTTCTCTCCTGTGTGAATCCTCTGGTGTATTACCAGGTAAGAATTGCGACTAAAACTTTTCCCACAAATAGGGCATTCAAAGGGCTTATCTTCTGTGTGAATCCTCTGGTGTATTGACAGGTAGGAATTGCGACTAAAACTTTTCCTACAAATAGGACATTCAAAGGGTTTATCTCCTGTGTGAGTTCTCTGGTGTATTACCCGATAGGAATTGCGACTAAAACTTTTCCCACAAATAGGACATTCAAAGGGTTTATCTCCTGTGTGAGTTCTCTGGTGTATTACCAAATAGGAATTATCACTAAAACTTTTCTCACAGATAGGACATTCAAAGGGTTTCTCTCCAGTGTGAGTCCTCTGGTGTATTACCAGGTAGGAATTCTGACTGAAACTTTTCCCACAGATAGGACATTCAATGGGTTTCTCTCCTGTGTGAGTCCTCTGGTGTCTCATGAGATCAGAATTCTGACTAAAGCCTTTTCTACAGTCTGGGCATTCAAACAGTTTTTCTCCTGTGTGAGTCCTCTGGTGTCTCATGAGGTGGGAATTCTGACCAAAACATTTTCCACAGATAGTACATTCAAACAGTTTCTCTCCTGTGTGAGTCCTCTGGTGTATTACCAAATAGGAATTCCGACTGAAACTTTTCCCACAGATGGGACATTCAAAGTGTTTCTCTCTTGTGTGCGTTCTCTGATGACTCACAAGGTTGCCATTCTGACTGAAACTTTTCCCACAGATAGGACATTCAAAGGGTTTCTCTCCTGTGTGAGTCCTCTGGTGCATAATAAAGTGGGAATTTGTAATAAACCCTTTCCCACAATCTCGACATTTATAGGGTTTCTCCATGGAGTTAATCCTCTGATATATTACCAGGCTGGAATTTTGATGGGAACTTCTTCCACAGTCAGGACATTGAAAGGTTTTTCTCTTTTGAGAGTCCTCTGGTATATCACTGAACTTGAATTACAATCTGAATATTTTCCCACAATCAGGACATTCAAAGAATTTTTCTCCTATGCGAGTGCTCTAGTGTATCATCATCTATTGTGCGTGCTCTTGTGTTTGAAGAGGTGGGAATTTGTAATGAAACCTTTCCCACAATCTTGCCACTCATAGGGTTTGTCCTGCAGGGAATCCTCTGATGTATTACAAAGCTGCAATTATGACTGGAACTTCTCCCAGTCAGGACTTTGAAAGGTTTTTTTTCCTTTTGAGTCCTCTGATGTATCACCAAGTTGGAATTACAACTGAAAGTTTTGCAACAGTCAGGACTTTCAAAGCATTTCTCTCCTATGAGAGTCTTCTGGTTATATCATCAGACTGGAATTTTGACTTTCCCATAATTAGGACATTAAAAGGGTTTCTCTTCTGTGTGAGTTCTCTGGTGTCTCATAATTTCTAATGAAGCTTTTCCCACTATCTAGACACCCATACAGTTTCTCCCTGGAGTCAATCCACTGATGTATCACCAGACTGGAATTGTGACAATGCCTTGTTTAGTGGTGCTTTCATTCAAGCCATTTTCTTCCTCACAGGGAGAGGCCTA